TCTCATGCGCTGCCTCCAACGAATCACTGTAAATAATTCTGCACTTGTAAATACTCACCTGTGGAACTTCACCTATTGGACCTCCTCCTCCAAGTTTCCTCTCCTTCATCAACCTGTAAGCATCATCCACAAAACATTATCTACTCAAGAATCATACCGGACAACCTGCCTGTTATTCACATCTGCAAATCCTCTGTTTCAGGTCCCRTCCCCAGATCCCAGCACCACTGTAAATAAAATCACTTATCTTTTATATTTATCTGTCTCAGTCTCTGTTTTATCATTGGTATTTGCTCACGTTGACATTCCACCTGAAAACCTGATACCATTCATATTTTTATATCTTAAAAATGGCCTCCTTATATTTTCTTTTAAATTGTATTAAACTTTGACTTTTTTAGGCCCTCTTTTTGTGTGTTCCATAATTTGACCCCATGAATTATAATACAAAAGCTCTTGTTGTACGTATCCTATAAATCCTTAAATTTAGATAACCCCTAAAATTATATGTCCCTTCATTCTCAAGAAACAATTTCTGTATGGGCTCAGGTAATAATTTGTTTGAAACCTTAAACATAATTTGAGCAATTTTGAACTCCACCAGATCTTAAAATTTAAGAATTTTGGATTGTAAAAATAATAAGTTTGTATGTTCATATAGTGCTACGTTATGAATAATTCCGATGGCTCTTTTCTGTTGGATAAACAGTGGATGAAGAGAGCTTTTGTAATTAATTCCCCATACTTCTGAACAATGCATTAAATATGGCAAAATAAGTGAATTGTAAAGAACGTATAGTGATTTATTGTTCAAATTTTTTTAGCTCAGGCCAGAATTGAAGTACTTCTAGATAATTTATTCTGTAAATGTTTAATGTGAGGTTTCCAACAAATTTTGTCATCAATTTATCACTCCGAGAAATTTATTCTCATATACCCTTTCGAGATTTACACCATCTGTACTTGAACTTGATCGTTTTTATAACAATTTCCAAAGACCATAATTTTAGTCTTATTCAGATTTAATGATAATTTGTTGTTAWCAAACCATTTTTAATAAATTCATTTCCAAAGTAATTGTAGATAGAAGTTGGTTTAAATTCTCGCCAGAGACCAGTATAGTTGTGTCATCAGCAAATAATACAAATTTTAACACATTTGAAACTTTGCCCATATAATTTATATACAAATTAAATAATAGTGGTCCCAACACTGACCCCTGAGGTACCACACACACAATTTACAAATAATCAGACTCAATATCTCCTATCTTCATAAATTGTTGTCTGCTCTTTAAATAGCTCTTCATCCAGTTTAAGACTACCCCCCGAAATCCACCTTTCTAATTTTCTAATATATCATGATATATTGTATCAAAAGCTTTTTTGAGATCTATAAATATGCCTATTGCCAATTTCTTACTATCTATATTATTTGTTATTTCTTCAATCAAATCATCTACAGCTAATGAAGTTATCAATTTGCTCTGAATCCATATTGACTATTATTGATTAATGTATATTTGTTTATGAATTTTCCTAATCTTTCACTAAAGTGCTTCTCCAGAATTTTAGAAAATTGAGGGAGAAGAGAGACAGGCCTATAATTTGTGAAGAGATGTTTATTGTCATTTTTATAAATTGGTATAATCTTTGCTATTTTCATTTTATTGGGAAATATTCCCTTTTGAAATGATAAATTGCATATATGTCAATGGTTTTGAAATACCCCCATTACTTTTTAAATTATTTTCATGTCAAGACCATCAAAATCAGTGGATGCTTTATTTTTACATGTGTTCACAATGTCAATAATTTCCTTCTCTTGGATGGGATTGGGATACATTGAATCAATATTACTTTCAATGTAATTTACAGTGGATACTGATTTTGATACAGGTATGTTTTCTGCTAAATTTGGTCCAACATTCACATAATCACTATTGAATTTATTTACAACATCCTTCATGTTAATAATTTTCTGGGGTCGGATTTATAAAACTTGCGTGCGCACAATTTGAGCCCAGAAACTTGCGTACGCCACTTTTTACGCCAAGGTTGTGATTTATAAAATCCAAA